TTGTCTTTGAAATGGACAGTCTTCACCCTTTTGGCAGGTTTCTTCTTTCCTCCAAACACATCTGTCTTCTTATTGTTTTCTGATTTAAGCTCATTGAATTCATTTAGGACAATTTCCGAGCAGTATTTAATACGCATTTGTTTCAACTGCTCAGGATTATCCTTTAGAAGACCAGAGTTCCAATTTTTAATGCCAGCTCCAAAATATGTTTCCATATGGCGCATGACGAACACTCCACAGTCTACTTTATTCTTCTCATCTCTCCATGGCATATCAAGTCTGTCTGGCTTCAATTTGAAAACAAGTGATCCACATTCAAGCATTCCTTGGAATTTCAAATATTCAACAAGTAGTTTTTTCTGAAAAAAAAAATAAAAAAAGAAAGAACAATTATTAAAAATGTATTAACATTGCATGATATAATATTAACTGTATATGCATTGTTCTAAAATTAATTTAAAAATATTAGAGATTATTACCAGATTTATATGTTGATATTCATATTTTCCACATGTAAGGCCACCAACAGTAGAATTGTCCAGTATGTGAATGTGATATGCTTTCAAATCAAAACAGACCACATACAAGTGATCACTCTTGCACACAGGAAAGAATATCTGATAAAAAATAAAAATTATATAATATTAGCATGTTAGTAACTACATAAAATAATCATTTCCAATTTAAAATGAAAATTACCATATCAACATCTTCAAATTTAGAATGAGTTTTTTATTTTCTAAAATCATTATTCAAACTCTCGATGAATAAAGAGGCTTTGGACTTCAAATCCCATTTCTCCCCAGCAATCGGAACACTGTAATTCTGGAAACAAATGAAAAAAATATGTTATAAAATAATAAATCAAATATAACTAAGCTAATCAAATATGTTATACAAATACCTAACCTAGCACCAAAAGATATCTAACCTAGCAACAACAGAGAAGTAACCTAGCAACATCAGAAATAAAACTAACCTAGCAGCAGTATATATCTAACGTGGCAACAAGTCATAACTAACCTAACAACTTCTGATAACTAATCTAGCAACAGCAGACAAGTACCCTAGCAACTACATATATCTAACCTAGCAGCACCAGAAATAAAACTAACCTAGTAGCAGTATACAACTAGCGTAGCAACAAGTGGTAACTAACCTAGCAACTTCTGATAACTAACTTAGCAACTACAGAGTACTAACCTAGCAGCATCAAAAAACAACTAAAATTGCACCTTCAATGTAAATTCAATAACAGGAAATACCAAAAACAAAAAAATATTAAAGTAAATAAGAATAAAATATATAAGTAAACTTACACTAGAATATGTTGATGCAAAAAATCTCAACGGCTGGCCAGGTTTTCTGGATTGTTCTCTTAAGTTCAAAATTCTGGACCAGGTATCAAGTACAGAGACACTGATATATTGATCTGGTCCTAAAGACTTGAGATCTTCTTTCATTAAAATTAGATCATCGTTCTGAAAAATTATCTCATACCTGACAGCACAAAAATAAAAAAACAACAATAAAATATAAATTTGGAATTAATAAATGCAATAAAATGTGAAAATTATATTAAATTTCTTGGGTAAGAAAATATACATTGTCTCCTCATCTTCATGCAATATCCAATTATATATTTCTTCATCTCTTGCACCTGCTTTTGATATGTTCATTTGTTTTGCAACATCTTTTTCTTTCCTTTTTGCCTTCTCCTCTTCTTTCTCTTTCTGCTTTCTTTCTTTCTCCTCCTTCTCTCTCTCTTTCAGCACTCTCATTTTGTCTTCTCTCTCTTTCTTCTCTCTCTCTTGTCTATCCTTCTCCTCTCTCTCTCTCAGCTCTCTTTCTTTCTGCTGTTTCTCTTTCTCCTCTCTTAGTTTCTGGTCTCTTTCTTTCTCCTCTTTCCTCTTCTTCTCTTGCTCCTCCTCTTTCCTCTTCTTCTCTTGCTCCTCCTCTCTCTCCTTCTTTTGTCTCTCATTCTCTTCCATCCTTTTCTTTTGTCTCTCTTTCTCCTCTCTTTCCACTCTTTCTTTCTCCTCTCTCTCTTTCATCTCTCTCTCTTTCTGCTGTCTCTCTTTCTCCTCTCTCTGTTTCTGCTCTCTTTCTTCCTCCTCTTTCCTCTTCTTCTCTTGCTCCTCCTCTTTCCTCTTCTTCTCTTGCTCCTCCTCTCTCTCCTTCTTTTCTCTCTCATTCTCTTCCCTCCTTTTCTTTTGTCTCTCTTTCTCCTCCCTTTCCTCTCTTTCTTTCTCCTCTCTCTTTCTTTTCTCTCTTTCCTGTCTTTCTTTTCTCTCTTTTTCCTTTGCTTCTTTTTGCTTCCTCTCATTCTCCTCTCTCTCTCTCATTTCTCTCTCTTTCTCCTCTCTATCTTTATCCTGCCTTTCTTTCAACTCTTCATCTGTTTGATTCAAAAATGCAACAACATCTTCAGAAACTAGTTCTTCATCTCTCTCTATGTCTTTCTCTTTCTGCTTCTCTGTGACTTTCACTTTTTCTTTTTCAAGTGCCTGTCTCTCTTTCTTCTGCTTCTGTTTCTCAGCCATAAAGATAGAGATAGGTTGGTTCTCTATGATCTCTGGCTCAACATCATGATCAGTTGCAAACTGCCTTGAAACATTTAAAATGTCCTCCCAACATCTGTCACTTTCTTGGGACTGGGAGGACAACCCCAATCCCAATGAAAAACTGGGAACATCATCACCTTGTGACTTCTTCTTGTATGCAGCTCTCTTCCCAATAGCATGCTCAATCTTCTCAATAGCTGCAATTGTTTCTGGATCATTCCAGAAAGCAGCTGTTTCTTCACTATCCTCAAAAGAACCTGTCTTCTGAGAAGATTGAGGTACATCGGGACTGACAGAAATAAGATTTTCCGTTGCTTGTTGTATCTTCTTGTAATTTAAATCATCGGTCACTTCATGGGGGGCATCTTCAAGCAAGTTTATGACATCAACAACATCAGTAGCCAAGCACATAACCTTGCTTAGAAGCTTGGATTTATAACCCTGTTTATACATAAAATTAAACAGAGTGAACAATTATAAGAAAATATGGAGGAAAATTAAACAACTAACCTAGCAACATCAGACAACTAACCTAGCAACAATAAACAACTAACCTAGCAGCAAAAGACAACTAAACTAGCAAGAAAAGACAATTAACCTAGCAGCTACAGATAACTAACCTAGCAACAAGAAACATTTAACCTAGCAGCAAACAATAACTAACCTAGCAACAAGAAAGAAGTAACCTAGCAACATCAGAAAACTAAACTAGCAACAATAAACAACTAAACTAGCAACTAAACAGCCGGCCGCTTCACCCACTGGCCCGGCCACCCAGTTATCGCATGACAGCATTCGTGATGCTGTTCCTTTGTCTGTCCTCCCACATAGCCAGGATTGCACTCTGGAGATGAGGACAGCTCCTGCCACCACTTCCTCGAAAGGGGAATTGCCAGCTCACCTCCCCTCTGCGGAGATTGAGATTTCGACTGAGCCTATAGCTCTCCAGCCACACTCTGACGGCGAGCACCCGAGTGCTCTGCCGACTGGAGTCCCTTCCCTTACACCCTCTGAGCAGGCATGCGGTCTTAACCGCGCTCAGCACGACGTCTCGTGCGAGAGTTTTGCCTCCAGTGCTTTCGTGCACCATGACAGACAAGAGGCATGCCCGGACATGGGACAGGCACCTAGCGTCAGTCTTGGTCAGACTGCTCACCTGACGATTCGCAGGCCACGAGCGCTTTCCGAGGGCGTGCCCCCTCGGATTTTGTCGGCTTCATTGAGCCGATGATTCGCACCCCTGACTTTGACTATCTCTCACATTGTCTTGGTTTCCATTCGGGCGTGGGTAACATCTCTCATAAGATCTTCTTCTTCCACTCGCGTGACTACACTTGTCGGGTCCTCCGGGACACCGATCAGGTGCTTCATGTTGAGCTTTCTGCTGCTCATCTCCCTGAGCCCATATTTCACACTTTGGTTTACGCCAAGTGTAATAGAGTCGGGAGATACGATCTGTGGGACACCTTGCGTGAGATTGCTGAGAGTATGAAGGGATTGCCATGGATGGTTAGTGGCAATTTCAACATCTTTCTGCACCACGATGAGCGTGTGGGTGGCCGCACGGACAGGTCCCGGGAGATATGGGACTTTGTTCAGACCGTGGCGGACTGTGAGTTGCTAGATGCTGGATGTGAGGGTGAGCCCTTCACGTAGGTTAGGGACGACCTCAAAGAGAGGCTCGACCGTGCTTTGGTTTCTGAAGCGTGGTCGAAGGTGTTTGCGGTCACGACCGTCACGCATCTCACTCGATTTGGGTCTGACCATTCACCACTCCTGATTAGGTGTCGCTTCTCGAGCACTCCCCGTCGTGCCTCCTTTAGGTTCCAGAACATGTGGGTTCGCCACCACTCTTTCCATGACACTGTCAGGGATTCCTGGCTTCATCCGACTGGGCTCTTCGGGATGCGCAATCTCGAAGCCAAGCTCGGCAGATTACGGCGTAGGTTGAGACAGTGGAACTGGGATGTTCTTGGAAACCTCCACCAGCGCCTTTCTGCGGCTCAGAGTGCGCACGCGGAGGCTGAGGGGGCCTATGACCTGGATCTCACTCCGGAGAATAGGACTGCGATGCACCGATGCCACGCCGAGTACCAGCTCCGACTCCTTATGGAGGAGGATTTCTGGAAGCAGAAGGCGGCCGTTCGCTGGGTGGCAGAGGGCGAACGGAACACTAGGTTCTTTCAGGGCTTCGTTAGGCAGAAGCGCGCTAAGTCGTATATCCATAGTATTGAGGAAAATGGATCATCCCTGACCCAGGAGTCTCATATTCGGGAGTGGGCTGTTGCTCACTTCCAGACCCTCTTCACCTCTGACAGAGGGTCCCTCGTCGCCCCGATTGTCTCTTTCTTCCCTACCATCCCTCCTTCGGTCGACCTTGTCGACCTCTGTGAGCTTCCGAGCTGGGAGGAGGTTAGGGATGCTGTCTTTGGGATTGATCCCAACAGCGTTTCTGGCCCCGATGGGTTCTCTTCCCTCTTCTATCAGGTCTGCTGGGATATAGTCGAGCCTGATGTTGAGGAGGCGGTGTTGGACTTCTTCACCGGTCACCGGATGCCGGATTCATTCACGGCTACCTCTGTCGTCTTGATTCCCAAAAGACCCAATCCGAACTCTTGGTCCGACTACAGGCCCATCAGCCTATGTAACGTGACCAAAAGTCCTAATCCATGCCTCATTATAATCTTCGGGGAGGTTAAAAGAGACTAGAAGATGATTGAAGTTATACCACTTAAAAGAGAACCTACCCTTAAATCCCAATTTTCCTAATCCAGCAGCTAAGTCTCGGGGGGGAGGGATAGCGTAGGTGAACTTAAAGACCAGTGTGTTCGCTAACTTACCTGCGAGGGTGTCAGCTTCGGCCTGTGAGAATCGGACCTTCACTTTGTTCCACTCCGAGCGGATGATGGTCCCGCAAGCGTGGTCATAGTCCCCGTCAAAGATAAACTCCTTTGTTGCCGGCCGCGGGGTATTTGAGCCGCCATCTCTCCTCCCGGTAATAGCATCCCAGAAGGAAATCGGGCAATTGGAGGTGGCCGGAATTGGTCCGGCTGCAGTAGGGTTGGCCGATGAGGCGCCCGTCGGAGGAGGCCCATTCGGGGAATGTCCGGAAAAATGAATTGCGGTCGACGAGTTCGGACCCGCGGTGACTACTCCGTCTTTACGCACATATAATACGTTCGGTTCATGTTTCCCGACAGCAGCGGAGGTTATTCCGGCGAGTTGATCGGACGGAGGAGGTGACATAGGCCGAGGTCCGAGAATTCCGGCCGTAAGTGAAGCTTCCGAGACATCCCTCGGTTTATAGCCGGCCGACAGGCTTTTTCCGGTGGTCGCGGATGCACCGGCGTCGGCGACATTCCGGTGGCCTGTGTCAGATGGCTTGGTGGTGGTGACGGCAAGGGAGTCTGCCTGAGGAGGTGTTTGGGTGATGGCGGGCTGTGTGGGGTGTTTAAGTATGGAGGTGGGCTTATGTCCCGTGGGCTGGGATTTTGGTTTGATGGGCTGATTTTGGGACGAGGGAGTTGAGGCGGGCTGAAAAATGGGGGTTGAGGTAGAAAGAGGTAATGGGCCCGTCTGTTGATTGAGAGGTTCAGCGAAATTGGGAAATGGTACCTGCGGATTAGGCCCAAGCAGAGTGTGGTTTTTTGGCCCAATGGGAGATTGGTTCGCCACGTGTAGGGATGTGATTTTGTCACCTTCAATGATGAGCTGAGGGTTTTCGGCTTGTGTTTCGCCGCTTTTCAAAGTGGTGTTTTGAATGACCGACGGCAAATTCAAAGGCGGAAGCTCCGACTGTAAGGAACAGGTCTCTGAAATTCCGGCGATGGTGCCGCTCGGCGAACGTCCAACTGAAGGAGTGATTTCCCCTTCTTCCAAACGACCGATTCTGACCAAAGGCTTCTCGATGGGATGACATCTTCTTGCACCAGATATTATCTTCTCCGGCGCCAAATTCCCAAAAATCGGCCGCGAATCTTAATTTGTGTCGTTGTGACTGGTCGTCTTTATGGTGACGGATGGATGAGACTCCCCTTTTTCAATACTTGAATGTTTGCCCAGGAAATTCACGACAATTTGTTGGAATTCTAGGAGTTTGAGTAAACTAAGAAAATCAGTTGAGAGATTAGCCGGAGCTTGGAGGGGCTGAGATGAGATTGACGGAGCTAAAAGGTTCAGAGAGAAAAGAGAAAGGAAGTTGGCCCTAGGGCCGGGTGGCCGGTGTGGAAGCCGCCGCCGCCGCCGGCGGCCGGTGGGGGTAGATAGGCAGTAGTGGTGGCTGTGGGGCGGAGAGGAGGCGGTTGTGGTCGGAAGTGGCCGATGAATAATGTAGAGAGAGAAACCTAGTGAGAGGTGAGAGCATTACGTGTTGCTAGGTTAGTTCTGTATGATTCTGCTAGGTTAGTTGTATGTAGTTGCTAGGTTAGTTCTCTCATGCTGCTAGGTTACTTCTCTCATGCTGCTAGGTTAGTTCTCTCATGCTGCTAGGTTAGTTGTATGTAGGTGTTGTGTTCGTTTTATGTGTTTGCTAGGTTAGTTCTCTCATGCTGCTAGGTTACTTCTCTCAGCTAGGTCAATTGTCTGTAGTTGCTAAGTTAGTTATATTTATTTGCTAGGATAGTTCTCTGATGCTGCTAGGTTAGTTGTATGTAGTTGCTAAGTTAGTTCTCTCATGCTGCTAGGTTACTTCTCTCATGCTGCTAGGTTAGTTGTATGTAGGTGCTGTGTTCGTTTTATGTGTTTGCTAGGTTAGAACTCTGTTCTGCTAGGTTAGTTGTCTACTGCTGCTAGGTTAGTGATCTAGTGCTGCTAGGTGTTAGTTATATCATGAATCAAAATTCCAGAATAACATGGACAATTTATTCAACATTATCAGCAACATTATATAATTTGAACAACTGCATCAACATTATATAATATTCTTGCCAGAAAACAGAGATTCTACAAAAATCAAAATTGCAGATAAGCACGAACAATTTTTTCAATATTACGTGATTGATTCTAATTGAATAACTCGATTTTCATTCATGGTGAATTCATCAGCAACTATTTTATTTAAAGTCAGTATACCTTCTTCCATTAATGGCGCAACTGGAGTTGCTTCGATCTCCATTGAAGCTGCTTCCGTCGACATTTGTAGATAAATTTGATGAAATCGACTTTTTTTTCCCTGGATATTTTTTACGAGCAGTTGAGTTTGCCTATCGAATCAATAGAAAACGAGAGTTAAACCTAATCAGACGATGAAATCGAACTTCAAATTGATAAGGAAATCGAGATTGAGAAAGAAATCGCAGAGAATCGTGATTGAGGAGAAAATTTGAGATATTATTTCCGATTTTGTGTGCGCGCGAGCTGAAGGTTTGTGATTTTTCAGCTCGTGATTTTATAATTATATATATACCTGATGCTGACCGTAGATTTAAAAGGCAGATTCAACGGTTGAGATTGGGTCTCACGTCCACATTTTAAGAGGTGGACCCATTGGATCCGTCCCCTATATATATATATATATATATATGATTTTTGGTAAAAAGATAAAAACAAGACCTCAACCTTTAACTCAGTCAACCAAAATCCGGCAGGCCTAGATCCACAAAATCGGTTCTCATAGCAAACGAACTCCAAAATTCACGAAATCTTAACCAAAGCCTCAAGACATTTTTACAAGATTTATAGAGTCGGAATCATAATTTTTGGATCAGCCATTAAACTCAATAAATCTAGATAAATTCATATCTCACTCAAATTTATCATTTCTCATTTTTTAGAAGGTCTCATATAATTAATAAAGAAGATGCTAGGCTTGGAATCAGGCTAGGCTGCTTAGGTTTGGCTAGGGTTGGAATCAGGCTAGGCTGCTTGGGTCTGGCTGGATCTGGTGCTGGGCTAACTCGAGCATACGGCGGGGACGCGCGTACGGGTGTGCTGGTGAGCAGACGACGCGTACGGCATGCTGTGCGGGCGACGGGGCGTACGGACGCGCGATGGAATGTTGGATCTGGCGTCGCGCGCGTACAGGCTGTGCGATGGTGCGGGGCGTACTGGGCTGCGACGCGACGTACGGATGGACGGTGCAAGGTTACGCGGCCGAGCTGGCTGGGACTTGGGCAAGCTGAAACGGGCCTGGCTAGACCTCGGCGCACTGGAACCGAGCTGGGCTGGGACAGCTAGACCTGGGCTCGAGCTGCCGGCGTCAAGCTCGTCGGAAAATGGACAAATGGCTGGAAAACGGAGGCTTTGCCGGAAAATAGTGAAGGTGGCCGAATTTCTTGTATGTGTAGACAATGGAGTGTTATTTGGAGAGCTTGACTTAGGAGTATTTTTTTAGATCTAGGGTTTGGGTCTGGCTGGACCTCCTAATTCTTCTTGCTTCAAGGTTTTGACATATCATCTTCCCCATATCTCTCTCATTCCAAAATTTTAATTGTTAATATTTTAGATTATAAATGGGCTTTTCAAACTTTGTTTTTCATGTTCACCTTCAAATTTCAATTGAATCTTTTCTTTATTTGGGGAAAATTTATTCAATAAACCCCTTGAGGCTTGAGCCATAGAGCCAATTGAATCTCTCTCATTAGCAATTTAGGTTAGTTCCGGAATTCGGCCCTGTCGTGGACGAAAAATCTACTACCCGCTTGCCGCTTACCTCGTCGGCGCCCCCAGTTCGTCGTCTGCCACAACCGGGCCTAACGTCATCACTGTCGGCCACTTTCGGCTTTACTCGTAGCCTTCTCCCCCACCTTCGCCCGACTGCCCGAGGCCCGGACCAACGGCTACTCTGTTCGGATTATTGTTGAAACGATGGTAAAACAATAAACAATAAAGTAGTTTAAATTTTGAAGCATAAACTTTAAATAGTTTGAGTGGTTAATTAATAATTAGTCGTTTCTTTTTCCGAACATTATTTGTTAATTAGTCGTTTCTTTAGATTTTAAAGCTTAGTGATTCTTGAGTAGTACTGAATGAAAAACAGTACTGATTTTGTGAATCCAAAAGAATTGTAAAAGATTGAAAAGGTCATTTAATGATTTAGCGATTTAGCATCAGTACTGATTTAGTGATTCCAAATGAATTGAAAAAGATTGAAAAGGCCATTTAATGATTTAATAATTTTATTTGTTTGCTTATAATTCTGTATGGTAAGAGTAAGACTATAGGATTTAGATTGTGTGTGGTAATGCTACTTAAGTTATATTGTTAACTGCCTGAGTGATAAACTGGTAATTCTATAGCGCAGTATGATAATTCTTTAGCTTTGTCGAGTTTGTATTATTCTATAAATTATGTTTTATTTTTATTGTAAAAAGGATGTTGAATATGTATTAATTTATTTCTTAAAAAAAAAGTACTTGAGGCATTATTTTTATTTTTGGCCCAGAGCCTAATAATTTACAGGACCGACTCTGTTTGAAAGCCAACTGCTGCTTACAGTTCTCAATTTCTTCTTCAAGTGAGAGAGCTTCAGAAAATTAAATAAGGAAACTGAAAACATATGCAAACAATTTCAATGTGTTGGCAAACAATATTTAGAAAACAAATCACTTCATCAAGCTTCAGTACTGTGTGGAAGCTTTTCCACAAACCAAGATAAAAGCTGCCATTGACGCGGCAGAAGGTCCCGAATGCTTACTGGTTTGCTTTCCTCATAAAAGAAATACAGTGTCGGTTGATCTTGTTGACTAACAGCTAATTCCCTCACTTCGGTTCGGTCAGTCAGACTCGTAGCAGCTAATCCCTTCTCTTCGTAACAGTAGCTTCGCAGCCGGTGTCTATGTAGCACAATGTTTTTACGAAAAATCCACCACTCTTCAGCATTTCAAGAAATACTTGATACTATCTAGAAATGAATTAAGGGGAAGATAAATGGGGAAGAACTCGTCGCTGCCCTAACTTTTCTTTTTTTCTGAGAATGCGTAAATGGAGAAGAAAGGAAGAAGAGGTGCGTATATTGGGGGTGTTTGACGTGGAGGGTGATGTGGAGGGTGCGATGTGGAAATACATGTGTCTGCTGACCTAGCACAAACTATTGAATTTGAGTGCCACGTCAATTTTCCGATCGGCCATGTCAACAGACCTTGGCAGGAAGTCAATTTTGAGACAATATTGTAATACTTAAAAAAGGTTTGTATTGTAGTGCAAAATTGAAAAAGTTGAGTTTTATGTGCAATTAAACAAAAGGTTGGGGTTTTTTTTGGCAATTAACCCTATGAATTAAATCATATTTCAATATGTGCNATGAAAAAAATGTTCAAAAAAAAAAAAAAAATTAAAAAGTTTACCTGGATGGCAATGGCAAAGAGTTACTGCCCATTACGCCAAATTCGACACTGTGACATATGTGGTGAGTAGTGACAAAGCTAAATGATTGCTGGAAAAATAATACTTGGCTACAAACTTCTATTTTTTATCCACTACCAATGTGGGATGTTAGAGACTTTGAATTATCAACTCTCTGTGCCATCAACTGACTCTCCAAGATCTCAACAACTTTATCCGGGCATTCATCAGCTGGATTGGCGGCCGACATCTGGCAAAAGCATTCTGGCCAAGAATTCGTATAGAACGACTCGGGCGAGACCCTCTTGTGGGGCCCACCGAAATTCGTCTTCTGCATCACGCGCCTCACAGCGTCTTCGAAGCCAGCTGTACGCCCCTTCTCGCGTTCGATAAAGACAGGCGCAAGGGCTTTTCTGTCCGGCCGTATGTTCGTTCGGAAACCATAGTAGAGTCGGTGGCCGAGAAGATTATTCGCGAAATTGCTGGGCCCATCATATGTCGGCATGAAAATGTCGGCAAGCAGACAAACCATATAGTCGACTGCCGAGCCCACAAGGCCATTGGTGTTCTTGGCGAGCTCGCCAGTCGAGTCTACAGTATTATGGTTTTCGAGGCGTGGGAACAGTGCGCGGAAAGGCTTCATAAATCGGTCTCCGCCGAATAGTTCGCCGGCCGCAAGGTATATTCTGGTAGAGTTGTCGAAACCCATTGCTCTCAAGATAAGACCCACCTGCAGGAGATTCGAAAAAATCATTTTCCTCTGTGCTGTAACAATTTATGCATTCAGTGGCAAAAGGATAAAAGAGGAATGGTATTAGTAGTCCATGTATAGATCAGGCATAGGTGTTCTATTTAAACTAAACCTCTAAATTATCTTGAGCTTTTACGGGTGTGTTTGTATATGAGTACACTCAATCCACACTCAATCCCCACTATCCTCAATATTATCAATATAATTAAATAATTGGCAAAATTACAATTTTAGTCCTGTTGGTTTGATCCAGTGGCGTTTTTAGTCCTAATAATTGAACATTTTACTACTTGGGCCTATAATTGTAAAATTCAACGCAATTTCAGTCATTTGAGACTGAAATTGCAACAAAATGTAAAATTATTGCTAATAAAAAATCCATTTTTATTAGCAATTTAAGTCCTGTAATTTTAAATTTTGTTGCAGTTTCAGTCTCAAAATACTAAATTACAGGATCAAAAAACAAAAAGCTGAAATCTTGGAACTAAAAATGCTATGGCTTTCCAGTAGGACTAAAAATGCAATTTTGCCTAAATAATATAATCAATCATTTTTACACATCAAATTAACTTTAATTAACTATTCATCCACTCACATAATTTTAACTAATCATCACTTCATATCATCTCTCTCTTACTTTTTTATCAAATCAACTTTAATTATTTTTATTTTAAATATTATTTTAATATAAAATCAGAATTCTACTAACAACTAACTATACCAACTTTTTAACTCTGGTTAACCAAAAAAACTCGTTTTGAGCGGATATATTTGTATACAAACACGCCCTACACGGCTAACACTTCATAGTTAGCCGCAATGGCTAAGTCATGCAGTGTGGTCAATGGATCGCATGCATCTGCCATGACGAGACCCTCTGGAAGAATAATTATTAATTGCTATTTTAAACATTATTAACTACTACTGTAGTCGATGGCACGTCAAGAGACAATCTAAGCAAAAAAGAATGATTCCCACTACAAACTGTACTATTTGGCTGCAAAATAGAGCAATGAACGATAGGCATGTTTGTATGGTCATGATAAGAAGCAAATGCACCACAAGTATTCTTAGCAAGGAAGTAGAATAGGGACACAAAATATATGCACAAGTTTTCCATCTAAGACCTTCAAGGAAAATTTTCTTATATGTCGGATGGTGTTTGCAGGAATAAAAGGGGAACTCCTTTTCAGGTCTACGAGGCAAACTAAAAGGGTGTGTCGGTGGGCAAAAAAATCCTCTAAAACATCTTATCGGATATATAATGACTATAAAAGCTTCAGAAATGAATCTAGAGAAAACTTAAATCAGGATATATATATATATATATATATATATATATATATAATGATTATAAAAGCTTCAGAAAAATGAATCTAAAGAAAACTTAAATCAGATTTTGATACTTGTGTATTTCTACGAGCAGGACCTCCAGACCGTAACAACCTCCTTTAGTTCTTTACATAATAATAACAAGATTTTCATTGATATACATCATATTAGTTCAAAAATATCATTTTGTTCAATGCTAATTATACAATTAGACTGATCTAATGGGCCCACATACTCTTTTAACAAACATGCATAATTTTATTATAAAATGTCATTGTTAAAAAAGCAACATAACCAGAAGACATTGGATAGTATTAGCATGCTTTTTTGTTTGCAAAGTATGATAGTTCGACCCGCCTAACAATTAAGATGACATAAGAATTTGTGTTTGTACCAAGGTTTTAAAAACCGAACCGGTCAAGCTAGTGATTCACTAGTCTGAACAGTGGTTGAACCAATTGGACCGTTATTTAATTTATTAATGTTTTTAAATATATAATATTTTATATAATAAAAGTCATATATAAAAACTTTGTTAATTAAATATTTAGACAATTTAAAACATTCAAATACTTAAACTAACTAAAAACCAACTTATATATATTATATTCAAATATGTATTTTTATTTATATTAAAAACATTTTTGAATATATTAAAATTTACTTAAAAAAAATACTGGACCGGTTAAAAAATCTTAATGGCGATGCCCAAGTTGTTTGTTTAAGCAAAGTTCTCGGACATCGGCATTAAGATTGTTTTAAAGAAGCCCCTAAATACATCTTTAAAAGTTCTATAATTATACGAAAGCATTTATGACAAGGCAACAACATCGTATTTAAGTGAATTAGGCAGGAAACAATAGCAACTCTACCAAAGATGTAGCATAAATTTCTTATTTCTTATTAAGAAAAGGATATGATAAGTATTTGAGTTTTCACAAGATAGAGCACTCCCAAATAAATGAGTGCACAATAAATTGAAGATTTACCTCTTCAGGAGTTAGAGGGCATTTTCCAATTGCCCTTCTCTCATCATATACGAGTTTCTTTGGTGCAAAATTTTCTTCGCGGTATTTCTTCAAAATTTTTTGTTCCGCTGGAGTAAATATATCAAAGCAGCTGAAAGATAAGGATAAAGAAAGATCAAACATTGCGAATTTTCAAAATCCTCCAATATGCAAGTGAGAATTTATTTATTTTCTCCACAAAATTCTTTTGTGCACAATTGTCAAGCAAGGGACTGAAAACACTAAGCACTAAATCTGGGGCCTTTTTGCTGATTTATGCTCAGTTGGGCATATCAGCAGATACATTTATAACCCTTCATTTTGTCCACCAGGACCATGAGTCAGATATTTTGAATGTCTCGACTTACAATTGAGAATATGGTAGATACATTACCGTGCACCAGAAAATAATGCCAAAATGCCAGGTGCTTAATAACATCATGATAAAGCCTAAAGCACTCAAGATATGAAGGGAAAATGGAGAATGTGAGACATTCATATTCAAAGAAAACATCCAGTAGGTAACAACCATCTCAAAAACGCAATTTTGTTATTTTCCTTTATTTTTTGTGGTTTTTCTATTTTACCTCATTAATTTTCTTATTCTTATTTTATTTTTTGGTCTAACAGGTTAAATAATAGCCCGTGATGGAAGTATTAAGTGTATTTTTAATTTCAACTGAACCAAATTTCTGGATTGCATTGTTTAGGGACTTACCCAGCAAATGCCAGCATATCCATCTCAAAACGAAGATGTATGGCCATAAAGTGACCTTGTGCTCGAAGCCTTTTCACGATTGCATCACTCAACTCCATGATGTGAGGCTTAAATCTCAAGGCATGATAGTTCACTCTACACCTTAGCCGCTGGTACTCAGGGTTGTCTATCTCTTCAGCCAGGCGATGAGAGAAAGGAGTAAGATAAATAGCACCATGTTCTTTCATCTTCTTTAAGGCTTCTGTTGTGTACCAACTTACAGGAGCATCTCTTGGGGGCCGTATCTTAGCACAATAAATGTTGCGTCAACATAATAATGAAATTTCTGTCTGCCAGAAACTTAATCCAATGACCATGAGCCGTACCTGAAAAGGTTTTATCTTCTTGGGCTTCCCATTTTTATGGATCTCTGGAATGCTTTCCACAATGTTTACATCATATCTCAGTGACTTGATGAAATGCTCCACATCATATACACCATGGAAGCCACTATAGAGGAACAGGTAATAGAATAGATATCAACACTCAGCCGCCAAAAAATAAAATTGAGTTTGAACATCATGAATCGCTAATGTAGGTTTGGAAAATACTTTTCACACAAGGTTGGCTTGTTTGAAAATCGATTTAACCTAGGGAGACAGTTATTAGTACAAAAACAATTTTATCCATTCAGCAATGCTTGCATTTCAATTGACCCAGAGAGTCAATTTATACCACCTAAAATCAATCTACTTAGCTAGAATAGCCTACCAATCAGTTTACCGAGTTATTTTTTGTAATATAATGGCTGTTGATTTTGAGGGTGATTTTATAGGTAATTCAACAGACCTAGCCATGTGTATTTTCAAGGCGAGCTATAGCAATCCCAAGAGAAACACTAAAACTGCAGGAACCTCGAGAGAAATAGGCAAAATTCCAATTTGAAGCTAGAAAGCATGCAATCAAGATAAGTCCAGAAAGTTAATTTGTTTATCTATGGAAATATGTACCTATCATCATGCCAGAAAGAGTTTGCATCGAGTTCAGGTAGCACAAGTGTAGCATTCATGATTCTAGCAGCCAGAACAGCATTACAGATCTAGGGTACAACAAAAAAAATATTCTAGTGTGATGAATTAATTAGTTTTACTAAAACAAGATAAAACAAAAATTGAGAAGTTTAATTTTTAAACACATTAGGTTGGAAAGAGAGAGAACTTGATATGAGTAAAGGGTGAAAGAAAACGAAAAATAATAGATAATTGAGATTATTAATTAAGAAAATAACTGAGAAAAACTCGAGATGAAACTTCCTGCCAAGCCTAAAGCCAACAATCCTATTCAACCAAATGATAACCCTAACTGATAACATAATGTTTCCAACCCTATGGACCTTAACCCAATTATTGAATTAAATAAAATATAAAATTGATCTCTAAAAGGCTACCCCGACTTGCTTGGGACTAAAAGGCTATGTGTGTTATTTGTTGTTTGTTGTATAAAATTGATCTCTAAAAACTTAAGGCACGGAATGCTAAAGTAAATATGTAACCATTTCAATCTCAGGGTACTTTCAATCTAAACAATGAGCTAGTTTGTATTTTTCACCCAGAAAAAGAATAAATAATTTCCAGAACACATTTTTCCACTTTCAATGTTATACCCACGTGCAAATAAAGCTTCATGAAATATTGGGCTAACAGTATCGACATACATTCTTCAGTCATTTATGTGCTATGTCTAAAATATATATCCATGTTTAGATTTTAGACACACTTTGGAAATGTAACTAAAAGACCTGTCGCATTAATTATAATCATATACCTTACACATTCTCAAAAAACACCCATCTTCCTATAAGCTTATTTATTTCTCTTTTTCTCTGTCTCAGGAAAAGGAATGAGATGCCAAGCAACACACTCCTTAGAATATTCTCCCTTCTCACTTTATCAAGCCAATTTGATTTTGAACTACTCATTGATATGCCAACATAGTGAATATGAAAAGATACATACAACAATTGGCACTAGAGCAAGTATAGACCACTTAACAAATGGAAAAGGCAGCGAGACCAGAGCGACATGCAGAGCCTCATGTCTAGACATTATAAACACACAACGGAACCTGATCTCGATTCAGATGAACAATTGGCATCCTCAACAAAGTTATTTGAAAGCTCATATAATTTTGTAACAAATCAAGAGATAAATAGTTTATGTGCATTTTGCAAGTACAATATCTACCAAAACTAAAAATATATATATACCATGCAAAAATCATCTCCTTATCCTAATCATACAAAGATGAATCTATTCTTCCTAAAACAAGAGAAAGCTATATATACTATTTATATATGCACACAATAAAATTTCCACACTCCCCAAGCTAGAGCATAATCGCCAATCATTTCTAGCTTGTCACATAATTCAAATAATTGTCTTCAACGATTTCGTGAATGTATCAACAACTTGACTGGACAAAGACATGAAAAATGTTGAAACTTACTTCAATCATTAAATACCCCCGATTAATGTAACAGTTGGCCTCTATATGCTTAGTCCTTGCATGAAAAAGTGGAATACTTGCAATGTGAATATTCATTTGCAGTTTGCTTATCACAATACATTGATAGGGGTTCATTGCAAGTGAACCCCAATTCTTCAAGTACATTTTTCAACCATAGTATTTCAGTCAAGTGTGAGTCATGGCTCTATACTTAGCCTCGGCAGTTAATCTAGCAACTGTAATTTGTTTCTTGCTAGGGGAAGGTACAAGATTTCACTCGACATAAGTTCAAAAACAAAAAGTGGATTGTCTGTCATTCTTGAGTCCTTTTTCCAAGAAACTTCTTCACTTATCTCAAAATCTTGAGTGCAATACTTTAGTGAACTTGCTTCGGTTTGTCCATGAATCGACTAACCCCTCCACCCGCAAAAGAGATGACAGGACTATTCACTGTTAAGTACATGAATTTCCAGACAAGTAGACTGTATTTTGTCTTATCCTCAATAAATTCGTCACCATTATCCCAAATATTTGAATTGACGACCATAGGAAAGTCCATTGGTTTGGTTCCAAATAGTCAAGTTTCGACAAATAAATCCATACTTCTGTTGGCATATCTAGTAAGCTACTTCTGTTGGCATAATGAGATTCCAAACTTACTAGAGCAATTTCAATTCCCAAGAAATACTTAGGTCGCCCCATATCCCATAGTTTATCAGTGCTCGATATTAGGACGTCGTCAACTTAAAACAATAAAATGATAGTCCCATTTATGGTCAGGTACTAAGTGATCATATTTACATTGCTCGAATTCAACAGCTTCAGAACCAAGCTTTATGATTTTGTTTAAGACCATTAATGGCCCTTTCCTAAAATTTACATTTTACACACAATAGTAGGTTGCTCCATAAAACATTCTCGTGCAAATCACCATAAACAAAGGCATTTTCAAATATAGCTCCATTAGCCAAGACCGATTAAATGCTAACGAGAAGAGAACTCGTATGGAATTCAAAAGAGTGGTTGAAACATCCCAACGTGGTCAAAACCATAGATCTTTGTGTAAACTCTTGTTAAACAAGGTTTATATTGATCAATACTACCATCAGAATGATATTTAAGATTGGAAGTGGAGTATATTGAAATAGCAAAAGCACCGAAAGCAGGTCCAAGACGCTTAAATGAGACATGGTGAGATAATAAGGATGGGTGATACCAGAACAAATACTTATATGGAGAGCAATTGGTAGATCACTGTCAAAAGAACTAGAGACCTCAGGAGTTACATGAGGGGACAATGCTGAAGGACATGAACCTGGTTGTGGACGAGAACACATCGTGTAAACTTGCAAACGTTGAGCAGTGTTAATATCAGTAGAGGTATAGACTGTGGGATAGACAATAGCAGTGTTGTTAGGCCACAAACGGGGAAAAGTATGAGTGTGACTAAAAAATGTACAAAGCACTAGTGTAACTTCGTTTAGTGACTAGGTCAAAGCAACGATAGCCTTTTTGTGTTCAAGAATATCCCTAAAAACTGCATCTAAAGAGCACAAAGACAATTTATCAAGACCAAAGGTCAAATTACGGACAAAGTAGATACAATTAAATACGTGAGGAGGCATGGGAACAAGAGGTTTATCTAGGTGAAGACACGAGAATGGTATATCCCATGTACGACAGTAGACGACATCAAATTGATTAAGAAATAAGCTATAAACAGCACACTATCGATCCTCCTTTTAAAAAAGAGGAAAACAAAAAACACTATAAGAACAGCATCACCCCGCAAATATTTATGGACATGCATATGACAGAGAAGCGTACGAGCTACGTCTAAAATGTGGCGGTGTTTGCATTCAACAACTCCATTTTGATGGAAGTGTAACAGGCAAAAGGTTTGATGAATTAGGCCTCGAGGAACACAGAAAGATGAAACAAGATTTTGAGTGAACTCGAGAGCATAATCAGTAAGAACAGTGTGCTATTCAACAGAGTACTCTGAGTTTTATTTCATGGTAAAAGGATTTTAAAAAATCTTGAACCTTACTTGTTTCTCAGCAAAAATAATCATGTCATGCGGGAATAATCATCTACAAATATAATATAATAATTAATCCCCCAAGGATCAACTCTACTATGTCCCCAAACATCACAATGAACGAGGTCAAACACGAAAGAACTGCATTTAATAACTCTAAGAGGAACTGGTGTCTGATGGTGTTCACTAAACTTACAAGACACTAAAAATTAGTAAACTGAACATGAAGTAAACAATTAAGAAGGAAAAATGGATTATTAAGATAATGTGAATGATAAGGAGGCACAACGACAGACAAAGCAAGAAGAAATAGGAGTAACGACATGCAATTAACATGTCATCAAGCTCATGTCCTCCACCAATTGTCCTTTTCGACTGCAAGTGCTAAAAGACACAGATAAGAAGTCATAGAACATTTATGACTTGTCGTTAGATGGCTTATGGACATTAGACCAACAGGAAAATAGGTGCAGAAAGAACATTATCAAGAATAATATTGGTGGCGGGCTTGACAATACCAATACTAAGAGAATACGTGTCATCGGTTAGGTGAACAGGGTATACAAATGAGGTAAAGAAAACCATGAGAATGTAGCCTTGTTATCTGTAATATGAACGGTGGAACCAAAATCTAGCACCCTAAGCATACCATGAGGTCCATGACACACGGCAAACGCACCAGACAAAATAGAGGCGGAGGATTTGTCAGCATAGCGAGCAAGGTTTCATAATCAGCACAAGATCGGATATCAAGTCAATTGCCACATAGGGACTCTATTAGCCAATCAAGCTTACCGAACTTCATGCAACATATATCGTAGACATCATATAATACATAAATTATTCGTGGTGGGTTTATCAAATGAAGGAGACATTAAAAGAAATTCAAATAAGAAAACCTTGGCATTAGTAGGTAGCAACAATGAGCAATAGGAAGGTCTCCAGCGGCGGCATATGATAGTAGTACATTAGCAGATTAAAGGTTCACCCCGGCAACTACTAGAGTGGCAGCAACAGACTAGCGGCATAGACAAAAATTAAGACATGGACAAATTTTAGCCGCTCTAGTAACATGTAAAATATGAAGAGGGGCAAGTACAAAAGACTCCATATATATATAGAGGGGGTGTATATAAGGTTACACTATAAAATTGTCTCCCTACTATTCAGCAATGATTTCCTTAGCATATAAAGATGATTCTAATCGACCTAAATCAGTAGAAAGATATATATCCGCAATACATATACATTACAAGCAATAAAATGTCCAACAAGTTTGTTTTTTCATAAACAGACATTTCACCTCATGTAATGAGAATTCTTTATAAAACACAGAAATGATATAGATAGACCAAGGATACTGACATAAGCCCCTTTAAAATAATGGCAAAATAAATGTCAATACTTCTATTTCTTCAAGTACATGATTTACCTACAGATGATTAAGAAAGAATTAATACTTCATAATAGATTGGAAGGAGCATCTAATACTCTTAAACGAATTTCCATAATTAACTAAACAACTATCACATATTAAATTCTGGATACAATACATTATTCCAAAATTAGCTGGAGCAGCACCATTCGTCTTGAATGTATTTCAACGTCTAAGAGAACCATGGGCAGAAATGAGATGCATACTTTCTACATTAATTCCGCCACAATTTCATGCAAACAAAAACAAACAATCTATTTGTGCATGAGATATTGAAAATAATCAAAGACAAACTACTAACTGAATAGACAAGTGTGGCATGTAAGCTGATAGATGATCTAATATGAGCAACTTCAGACAAATAAATTAAGCTAATTGTATTAACGTGATTGGGTCATAGTTCATACATAATGTAAACATGGATAACTGGCTTATCATAGCCAACCACACACATGCAGACAAAGGATTTAGCTGCATACCGCACTTCTTTGCTGATTAAGGCCACCATTACAACGAACTCTCAAGTAGCCATTGGTTTTTGTTGGAGGAGCTGCGTGAGCATACAAACACAAAGTAATAATCAATCTATCCATTTTGTCAATATTTATCGATGGAATCAATGAAAAAATGTATGAAATAAGGAACAAACACAAGCATACGGGGCCATTCAGATCTTGGATCAGATGACGGTCTCCACCCACCAGAAGGAGCTGTGTCCCAGAGTGTATCCACGTCAATCTACACTCAATAAAAACTAAATAATGGTGCAAGGTTTTATAATACATCATTAGTTTGAAGGTGTGAGATACTAGTAGAGGTAACCTGATAATCCGGATCAAGCAATGAACTATTACAAGCAAAAGGTAAAATTCCACAAATGTTTCCTTTATTAGCACATTTTCAATATCTTTATATTGCTCAATTTCTTTACAGCTAAGCAGTCTAAGCTACATCTACTGCTACCAAAACATAACCAAGATTAAAAGAAGCTCAGAAGTGTGAATGCTAACTCTAACTATCATCTACCAACAATAATGATGCACCTGAGATTGAGGCAATGGACCGCTGGTGCTCTTTATAGTGGACAAAAGTGAAACAGTACAGATGACCAGTATAATTATGGCAACTGATAGCCTACCGAACATGCCCTTAACTCCTGATTGCTTCAGTTGGTGCCTATGTGCCAGCCTACTGGAATCAGAAGAAATACTATCAGCAGATGCGACCTCTGTTTAAGATGATAATACTGTATAATCAAGTCCAGAAATTCATATATCCAGATTGACGAATGCACCTTCTCATTTTCGCTGATGAGTGATTGTAGATCGAAATGTCAGAAATTCAGCAGTAGTCTAGAGCGGAGGCAAGGGCGACAGAATTGAGAACATATCCGAGCATCTGATGTAAAGGCCCCAACCGGGAGCTAGGCAAGACCACCTTCGGCCGCAGGTTAATTAAGAAAACAAAAAAAAGAGTAAAAAAACTGAAAAGTGGGAGCTAGAGAGAGCGAGAAGCGGTGGTGAACTCGACGAATCTCAGGCGAATCAGATAAATCTAGCAATATCCACTAACAAATCTACAAATCAACTGAGGTAAAATTAGTACCTCAGGAAGCGATTGTTAGCAAGAACCGGTGGTGAAATGAGGTGACAGATGGCTGCCGGTGGTCGCGGGTGACGGCTTATGGCCACTGGGTGTTTAGAACTAATGGCCCAGGCTTTAGGCTAAAACTCAAGCTTGTCTCGTATTATATACCAAGTTTTTCTTTTTTCTTTTTCTTTTTTTTAAGAAACACACGAGGGACTAAAGCCGGATCTCCACTTGTAAATAGTCAAGATTCTAAATGGACCAAAAAAATCATAAGTCTACATAAGTTCAACATAAATCGAAAGTAAAAACGATGTTATTAATTTCATATTTCTCATCTTTGATCAGCGTATGCTCGATCAGTTCATACAAGTCGTCGTCCCTATCATTTTTCATCATGTTCATTCGATTGTTGATCTCGGCCCGGACCACGATCCTCCACCTCAATGCTTTGGCGATTTCCATTTTCAAAATTGTTGATATTCAAGATGTTGAAAACCTCCTTCACGTGCTTCTGGTAAAACATTCCCGATAGGTCAACAGAGGTCGAGATAAACTATTTGTTGGTGTATATACTGAAAGTTTGCCTTTGAATGTTATATACACTATTGCTATTGAATGATAATCATGTTTGATTAAACAAGTTTTATGTTTTGTTGTTTTGCACTTAGATAAAATAGTTCATCGCAGATAGACAGAATTTCATTTTATCAATCAATTGGGAAACAAGAAAGATTGGTTACAACGTAGATGGAAATAAACAACGATCAGAATGGTTATAGTGTCAACCGTACAGTTGATCTTGACTGATTAGTTGCATTAGTACATTTTATGTATTGAACAAGATCCTAGAGAGGAGCAATTCGTTTTATACTGATCGACGTAAACGAACTAGGCCTTGGTTAATTACTGCGTTCTCTTAACCCGTAAGATATAAACATGCATGTGCACGCAGTAGCAATTACTTTGATTCACCAAAAGCGAGATCCATTAGTTGGGTCAATGATAGTCGTGTTTTGGGTAATAATGTTGCGTGTATGATGTGCTGTTAGAATATTTACGGTTACCATGTGTGTTAGTTTGATGATGTCCCCGAAGTGAGCTCATGAATGATTAATATGTTAAACCCTGCAGGTGGATTAAGTTCCAACATAATAATAAAGATTTAAGTGGTACTAGCTTCGGTTCAAGGTATCGATTAATTCTAGATTGTCAGTAATCGAATTAATTGATGGACGTTATATCTTAAACGTGGGGAGGTAATTCTGGTAAGTATTATTCGAGTCTCGAATATAATTCAGGGATGATGAGGGAGTGCAATAATATTTCATTAGTGGACCGAACACATACCACCTCATTAGGGTCCCTGCTATAGCCCTATAAATACACCATTAAACTATTGGGATTGGACAAACACATAACCGCACACCTCATGCGATCGGTCGGCCCTAGTTCCCATCGAGCTTTATTTTCGAGATTTGTTGCTCCACCAAGACAACTGAAGAGGTGTCGGGTCATATAGCAGAAGTCCCTGAGGTAACCAAGACCTCGACGACCCCACGCACGACTAAGCCTTCCCGGTGACCGTACGCGAGCCACCATACACGTCCAGCCACCGCGAGCCACCAGCCGAGACACATTCCCTATGATCACTGCGCACGGCCCGACCCAGCAATGACCCGTTCTGACCGCCTACGACCCGCGAAGTTCTCGCGCGATTTCCCTGGCGATCGTGACCCGTACGATGTAGTCCTCGCACGTGACGATCCGCGACAACCCCGCTCGACCGAGACCCGACGTCCGCGATACACGCTACAACCGCGCGACGTTTTCCCGGCGACCCCGAGACGTCCTGTAACGCAACGATTCTTTTCATTATATATGAGTTCAACTTTAATTCCACAAATAGCAAGTTTTATTTATTTCAAGTTCTATTTATATTTCTAGCATTTAAATTGATTAATAAATTCTAAGTCTAAGTCATGGAGGATCCGTTCAATTTTTAGTTCTGAAATTGAATTTATTTAGCCTAAGTATCGGTTCATTTTTTCTTAAAAAAATGGCCGTGAACTTGGACATTTTTATCCGAATTGAGTGCTAAAGGAAATAGGAAAAAATACTAAGTAAGAGCTGAAGCTCGGTAGAGCCGAGGCCTCGGCCCGAACAAACAAGCCTCAGCCCAAGGCCGAGCCCAAGCACCTCGCACGGCCACACGACCCAAGTAGGCCCAATGGCACGGTCCGATGGCCGAGCCCATCATTTCTGAGCCCCATTTTATTGTCCGAGCCCATTTTTTAGGCCCAAATTTTAGTGCATGAAGCCCAATCCAAATTTTAATTCATTGGCCCAAGTTCTATACATTAGGGTTTTGATCGTGGCCTTCAAATTCAAGCATGTATTTAACAAGGTTGTCAGAACCGGACCAGTCATCAAACCGGTGAAGCTACTGGTTCAATGGTTCACTGGTCTGACCAGTGGTCGAACTGTTTAATTAATATATAATTTTAATTTATTTTTTATGTATAATATATAAGGGTTTATATTTTCATTATTAATTTTATAGTGTATATTGACATTATTCGAAATAAATAAAGGAAAAAATAAATATTCCGTGTATATTCTAATTATTTTAGCTAGTATGTCTAATTCCAAGTGTAGGTTTATAATCAACATTATTATTTTATTTTTCCCCACATATAATAATTATTAGCCTCATTCACGCTGGGAGTGAGTTTTTTTTTTCTTTTTTCTTCTTTTTTTAATCAATATTAAAGTGCCAAACATCTTACCATCCAAATTATCAAATGTATCGCGTTAATAACAGCCCAATTATTTTTTTCCTTCTTGAAGTCACATTCTTTAAGTTCCAGCCATATAAGGCCCAATAATAACAGCCCAACAATTGCATGAAGCCTTTATTTGTCCCTATCCCACATCGAAAGCTCAAATAAAATAGTGCAGCTATATAATTGATTCTCCAGCCAACTCAAATCAAAGCAATCAAGTGGACCGTTGAGCCGCACAAGCCGTTGCCGGTTCAACGGTTTTTTCGGTTTTTGACCGGTTCACTCGGTTTGTAGCCGGTTTAGGGTCCAAACGGTTTTATGTCTCAAACCGAACCGGTGTATGGGCCGGTTCCCGGTCGAACCGGCCGGTCCAGTCCGGTTTTGACAACTATAGTATTTAATGCCCAACCACCAAGTATGTACTTGGGGGGACATGGACTAGTCAAAAGAGATGAGTCCAAAACCACTTTTGTACCTCATGTCCCCTCCAAACCCTAGCTTTATAAATACTAGTCCATACCACCATCATTCTTCATCTTCCTCCACCATTTTCAATCAAGAAAACTCTCTAAAATTTCCTAAGTCCTAAATTCCTCTCCTTAGCCACACATAAATCCATAGCCCTTACAAATTAAAATCGACCCTGTCATCGTCAAGCTGACCCAAGCCTTAGATGCGCACGTCTCCGAGCCCTAGCCAAGCAGTCATGCACAGAAGCCCGCTGCCGCACGTGAGACCAGCCGAGAGCCCACCAGCACGGCAATAGCTCCAGTCGTGCCTCCAACAGCCCAAATCCGCGCCCAGGTTCCAGGCCGCATCTCCCAGTCCCAGCGCCAACACCCAGATCCAGCTCCCTTGTGCGCGCCTCTTCCTAGATATGCCCAGGTCCGAGTCCCAGCTTCCAGATTCGAGCAACAGTTTCCAGATCCAACAGCCCCCAAAAAGCACGCCCCTAGCCATGCCGCCACTAGCCACTTTCACTTCCTATTTTTCTGATCTAAGTACTGAAGAAGGTAGATCGACCAAAATCCCCTCCAATGGCTTAGATATGATTTATGAAGTATTTAAAATTATAAAATCAAGAGAAATGGAGTAGAAATAGTTGATCTAGATTTTATGTGTTTAAATGCTTGATATTTGGATCTTGAGTTGTAGATGTGCTAAAAATGTGATTTAAATTTCTATAATCCTATAAACTTGTCTTGAGGCTGAGGTTAAAGTTTTAGGATTTTTGCAGATCATTTGCTATATGAACTAGAATGTAAATCTAGATCTAAAATGGCTATTTTATGTTAATGAGTTAGAGATCTATTCTTGCTCAGATCTTTTGTTTATAAATCTTAAATATTATGTTGAGGTTGTATTTAAAATTTGAGGATTTTTGGAGGTCGTTTGATATAGTTTCAAAATCAGTACTTTAGCCTTTAATCGGTAAATTTTTAGATGCTTAATATGATGAGATATACCTAAGGTTTTTAGATCTAAAATTCTTATAAATAGTGATAAATCTATGCCTAAAGTTTTGGCTTGAAATGAGTTAGGTTGTTTGGAGAATTAGAACCCTAGATCGGCTCGATTTTAGGTGCTGGGTGATTTTAAAATTCGTGCATATTTTCCTGAGTCATAATAGTCTAGATGGACTCTAGACGTCATAAGGTGCCTAATGAACCTTGGGTTGCTGGAAAAGTCGTTGGACAGCCAAGGTTGCTGCCGCACCCAGCAGCGTTGCCGAGAGTCGCGTGCCTCGCAGCAGCCGCACGGGCGCGAGGTGATGAATAATCTCCTTGGATGGCGTGAGCTTCAATCCTCGGACAAGGTGTGGATGATTTGGAGGTTAATCTCCTTATCTTCTCGCGATAGGTGAGACAGCTCGGACGGATGTCCTTGCCAAACTCGTCTTGCTCGAACAATGCGGTGGACGCCCTTTTCGTAATAAGGATTTTGCGCTAAATATCAAGAGAAATCTAACACAAGAATTTGAAAAAGAAGTTCGGTTTTCTTATTAATAATTCGATAATCATAAGGTCCTAATAACATGAGTATTTATAGATATCAACTAGATCTAATCCTATTCTAAATAGAGTTCTAATTCTATGGAAAGTAAATCACTAGAATCCTAAAATAACTAAAATAATGCATACTTAAAAATCTAGGAATAATATAGTATCTAGGAGAATCATTAGTCTTGATCACCAATAAATCCTAGTCGGCAGCCTCGCGCGCGTGCACTCCTCTCATGCGGCTTCATCGTACGGACCTGTTCGGCGCGCCTCATTACGCGCGTCGCGGTACTTGCCCGCGTCCCCGCACGCGTTGCGTCCGCCTGCGATCTCCTC